GGTGGCGTTTATATCGAGGCGTGGAGAGGAATGTAGCGTTCCCGCTCCTCGCTACTTGCGTCGGTAGGAGAGAAATTTACGAAGGAATGGAGTGGCGGTGTTATGGAGAGAGAGAGAGAGAGAGAGAGAGAGAGAGAGAGAGAGAGAGAGAGAGAGAGAGAGAGAGAGAGAGAGAGAGAGAGAGAGAGAGAGAGAGAGAGAGAGAGAGAGAGAGAGAGAGAGAGAGAGAGAGAGAGAGACAGAGAGACAGACAGACAGACAGACAGACAGACAGACAGACAGACAGACAGACAGACAGACAGACAGACAGACACACACAGACAGACAGACAGACAGACAGACAGACAGACAGACAGACAGACAGACAGACAGACAGACAGACAGACAGAGACAGGGAGATAAAGAGACTGAGAGAATTAGCAGGATGATCTCAGCATAATACCATCCCATTAGGTTGACCACACATTTCTGCAAAGCTCATGAGGAGAATCCTAAGGGATTATGGTATCCAAGATGGAGACCTCATCATCCCAATTTCTTTTTCGGAGAAAGTTCAACGCCGGGCCACTAAAATCAGTCCTAAACTAAGTCGACATCTCGTACCAGGAACGGTTGAGGGCCACAGGGCTAACAACACTACACACCAGACATGACAAGGCTGATCTTATCAAAACTTTTAAAATACTGAACAAATTGGAGGATATTAATCCAGACCACTTCTTCAAAAGGTCAGATGTAACACAATCAAGAAACAACTGTTTCAAGCACAACAAGACACAAGCTTTTTACACCCATAGAGTTATAAATCCATGGAACCGCCTACCCGCCGGATCCGTAAATGCCAAAACGCTGTTAAATTCGAAAATCCAGCCCAATAAAATCTTCAGGACAAATAGGGGTTGGGGGACCTTAGACAAGCCGCCGACTTCCTGTACTCGTCAAAGCCTCTTGGAGAGGTAGCGGCCCTCAGGTAAATTCAGAAACGACAGACACAGAAAACCGAGAGAAAGACAGATGTACACAAAGAGACACAGTGACAGAGATACAAAGAGACAGAGAGAAAGAGAAATGCAGTCAGACGCGATCCAGCGCGCGATAACATTACGAAGGAGAGACAGACACTCAAGGAATGCCACACCAAGGGGACAGAAAGAAATATGAGGCGTCTTCTGACTTTAGATAAGACAAGAGAGACAAATTTACCAGCCGGGGGATGATATGGGAAATATGATCGAGTAAATAACCTGAATCAACGTTGCCAACCATCAACGTAACGTTGATAGTTCTTAGATGGGTATTTGATTGTTCTTAGGCTAGCACCTGATTGCATTTTTGGTGAGCAGCTGATTGCTCTTGGGTGGGTACCTGATTGTTCTTTGATGGGTACCTGATTGTTCATAGGCGGGCAGTTGATTGTTCTTAGGCAGGTTCCACATTGTTGTTAGGCGGGTAGCTGATTGTTCTTTCATGCATAGTTGATTGTTCTTAGGTGGGTTGCTGATTCTTCTTCAGTGGGTACCTGATTGTTCTTACGTAGATACCTGATTGTTCCTAGGTAGGAAGCTAGGTGGTTGGTATTTTTTCAAGCTTCTAAACAATAAATTATAAATTTTATCTTGAATTGAACTATTCATGTGCAAAGTAATAATATGCTTGTTAGTGCGGAAGTTGATTGGACAAGGTTATCGGTCATTTAAGTCAAGTTTCAATACATAGAGTGTTATTAAGAGCTGTGATCCACCTTCTGCAAGACGAATGGGATGTTGCCAGCTAGTCGGGCCGACCAGCTGGACTCCCACCAGCTGTTCGGTTCGGTGGACAGTTGCCAGGTGGACATACTGCCCAGCTGGTCGACATACTGACCCGATTACCCCCCACTAAATCATAACACCTAAACGAGTTGAATCAGCATGTTATCATCTCCCTACACGTTTCACTTTCTTCATCCAGCATCGCTGGATGAAGACAGCTATAGCTGCCTCGGCGTCTTAATACTGTTATTATGATATCAGAGGTGTTGTTTTGGTGGCAGTTGGCACCCAAGACACTGACTGTAAACATGCGATAAGACGAGTAGGCAGCATGACGTCACAGCTAGTATACCCCCCCTCCTCCCACTCCCTCCGGGTTGGGGTATATACCCTCTTCGTTCTTCTTCTTGGCATCATTATTTAGATTTCCTCTATTCCTTTCTAACCGTCTTGTCACTTATCATTGTCTTTGCTTGTCTGGGAGTTAGATATCTTATTTCGTAGTATGTTTACATTCTTGGTTTTGAAGGGAGGAGTTTGTTGGTCTTGGGGAGACGTTTCTTGAAGCTTATTATGTCTGCCCATCATCTCAGACCCTTACCTTACTTTGTGATGATTTCGGGGCTCAACGTCCCCCGCGGCCCGATCCTCGACCAGGCCTCTCTTAAATGCACTCTTGTTCGCCAATCTGCACTCGTCCATTCGTTCAACATGGCCATACCATCTTGGCATTGTCTCCTCAATTGTGCTACTTACTAACTTTTTTCACTCCTGATCTCCCAATGAAATTTTCATTCCTATCTCCCTATACATATTCCCCCCGAACACCTGGGGAATGACGGTAAAGACTGAGAGGGAAATAAGTACAGAAATTGACGACGAGGAGAGAAATAAAATAGGAAAAAATGGGAATACAGGAAAGAAAGAACAAATATTGATAATAGAGTGTGAGGGAGAAGGGGTAAGGGAGCTGAGTAGAGGGTGATAGAAGGGTGTAAAGTGAGAGAGGAGGGGATGGGAGACAAGGATGAGGGTGAATCAGTCATCTACCTCAGAGGAGTCACTAAGAGCTTCCCCGGACAGACAGCTTTGTTCTGTCTACTCGCGCTGGAATCATCTTCATCTCAGCATTTCTTGTGGGGGTTGATTTCTTATTGGCCCGCTGTGTAAACCATAAACCATAACGGTTTACACGCTCTGGGCCGCAAGGCAGCAGCATCACCAGCAGTAGAATTAGTAATAATAACTACATTAGTAGTTGTAGAAGTAGAAGTAGTAGTAGTAGTAGTAGTAGTAGTAAAGTAGTATTTACAGTAAAGGTGGCAGCAGCTCTTGGCATTAATTAAAATAATAATAATAATAATAATAATAATAATAATAATAATAATAATAATAATAATAATAATAATAATAATAATAAAATAACAATATTGAGAAGCTATCGTGACTCACCAAACTGTTATAGGAAACATTTGACAAGTGTGTCATTACTCTGGTTTATACCATGCCAAATCTTATTGCTTTAAAAATAGATTTATTTAAAGAGTCTAGAATTGATTTCCTATATGTAAAAATATTTATTTTTTTACGGAAAATAAATATAATGTGCAACCGAACTCTGACCTCACTTCAGGTCACTGCGTCACGTAACAGGATAGGAGAGAGCACATGATAGTATACCTGTATATAGGCTGAGTTTACTTAAGTCCTGAACTATGTCTGAGAACCAAATGCAACTTTCCGGTTCGTTGGTAAACTTTCGTGCTGGGGGTCAGTAACTCTCCCGCGACTGATTGGCGTCAAGCCCAACTGTAAACCAAAAGGTATAGTAGTAGTCTAAGTTGACCTACTTGTGCCTCGATTTATTCCAGTGAAAACCTGCGGTCGAGCAGAGTAGAGTTTGACGAGCAGTGAGTGACCTTCTGTACAGGACCACGAGACCGTGGGGAGCCTGCACAGGACCACAATCGATTGTATGGGACTATGGGATGTGACTGTGGGAGACTCTGGACCCGTGGGTGGGACTGTATGAGTCCATAGAATATATATGAGGTTACGTAAGACTATATGGGGCCGTGGGAGATTGAATAGATCCGTGTGAGACTACACGAGAACGTGGGAGATTGTACAGATCAGTGGGAGTTTGTATGGGGTGTAAATTAATGTGAAAAAGTGAAGATGAAAGAGGTTGTGTAAAAGCGTTGGGGGAGGGGGAAGTATAAGAGTGAGTGTGTGGGGCGAGTGTATGTGAGTGCGCGAGTGAATGTGAGTGCGCGAGTGTGGTGTATCACTAGATGAGTGTGTGTGTGTGTGTGTGTAAAATTATGTGACAAGAGTGTGGTACAATAAGGGTAAGAACTTAGGAGTCTACAGCAGGGGTTTTTGGAAGTGTGTGAGAGTGTGTGAGTGTGTGTGAGAGTGTGTGTGAGAGTGTGTGTGAGAGTGGGTGTGCGAGTGTATAACATTATTTGTATAATTCTTAAACAGCAGCAAATACGGTTAAAACTCAGCAAATTAAAATCCGAATTGAGTAAACAGTCACGTATAAAGTTTTCAGTATGAAAATAAAGCACGAAAGGCCACAAGGAAACACAGAACACATAGCAACTACGCCATATACATCATCAAATAACTGATTTCCGCACGAACGGAGGATCGGCGTCCTGATTAGCCGACCAATCAATCAGAAAGCATATTTAAATTAGCCTCTTGATATACCCAAATAAAGAAGAGAATAAACTAATAATTTCTCCAACTTTTCAAGCATAATAATAACAAATTTTGCTGTCAAGATGATAGCGATGGTGCAATTAGTCACAACCAGAAAGGTAAACCTTCGGGAAAGGTGGGATATGGGCCCTCGACAAGCCGCCGGCTTCTGTCCTCATCGAGGTCACTTAGGGTTAGTGGCCCCTCAGGTAAAACAGGACATTACGAATATGTAAAACGTGTAAATCTTTCCTCGAGTGGGTGAGAATGTGTGGGCTGGTGGTGGGGGTGAGGAGGGGGGGGAGTTAGGGGGAATGGAGGGGGTGTTTATGGTGGGATGGGGGGGGGGTGGCAGTGGAAGAAGCTTCAATAATCAAGGACAGGAAAGCCACGCCTCCTGGGGGGTTAGCTTCGGCCTTCTTCCCTGTCTCTCCACTCCTTTCTAACCCATCTCTATCACCACCACTACCACCACCACCACCACAACAACAACCACTACCTGCTCTACCCTTCCTTCTCCCGGGTATATAAGAGTGTCCTTTCTCTGGGTTGGCATCAGTGTGGCCCGAGAACTCGTACAGCCTCCCAACATGGTGTCCAAGGTGTGTGTGTGTGGGTGTGGGTGTGGGTGTGGGTGTGGGTGTGTGGGTGTGGGTGAGACTTTGCGTTGAGCAGAGGACTCTCGGTAGCTATAGTAGGGAGCTACTCCGACGAGGTCCTCCCCTGTGACCTTCCCTGTGATAGGTTTTTGAGAATGTAACAATGTCTTAAATCTTGTATTGTGTTCGTCATGATAGATGGGACTTAAGAAATTCGAGTGTTCCTCTGTTCATTTAGTTATATTTGTTGACTAGTAAAGATTGAGATACTGGCATCTTCTAACATAAACTTTCAGGCCTTTGTTAAATCTTCTCTTAAGTGACTTAACGCGGGTAGTGCAGTGGTTTCACTTTTGACTGTGTATCACAGTGTCGGTTAAGTATGTACACTTTCCGCACAGTGGACGCATTACTTAAACTAAATGTAGCGATAGTATTCTTATTTGATGTCAAATCTTCAATTTATTTTTACACTTGGCGAGGCACTCATTACGTCCTAGAGGAAAAATAGGAGACTTCAATGCACCCGTAAGAAATGAGCGAGTATCATAATTTATATTCATTTTGATTTGCCATTTGTTATATCTTTAAATGTTTCAGATAACATTATACCTCTCTGAATTATACCACGGAACACAGGTACGTAGTCTCATTAAATAATTGTATTATTATTATTATTATTATTATTATTATTATTATTATTATTATTATTATTATTATTATTATTATTATTATTATTATTATTATTATTGTAATTATTTTTTTATTATTAATATTGCAGCTGAATATTCCAAGTACTTTTATTTTATTTGTTGCCGGACCGTTTAATAAAGTATTTTATTGATGTTACAAGCTTCTGGTGTTGTCCAGGTGACGTTGATGGTAGCGGCGATGGTAGGGGTGGTTGTTGGGGCGCCCCAGTATGGCTACGTTCCCCCTCAATCACCCTCCACCCTGTACGAGACCCCACAGAAACCCCCCACCTCCCTGTACGAGACCCCACAGAAACCCCCGTCTTCCCTCTACGAGACTCCGGAGGAGACGGCCCCGGAGCCAGAGAGGCTGTACCAGGCGCCCTCAGATAACATCCTCATCGCTCAGTCCCAGAACATCGTCCCGCGAGTCGTCGATCCCGTGAGTGAGACTTGCAGAGATCAGATATGGGGAGAGGTAATGTAGCCATGAGATGATAAATATGAGAAACACCGTAGCAGGCATTTTGGTCCATTAAAGATGGGGATTGGCAATGAGACATTCTTCGTAATTATATATGTATCTAATCTATTCTTGAAATTCCCCCGTTTCTGTCAAGCCGGTGGAGGGAATTCCTTTCCTAGCAGACAACAGTAGTAGTGTGTAGAGTATAGACAGGGTGAATAGTCACAGTGGGTTATAATATGTGAAACCAGTGTGGATATACCCCATTGTGGGGTATAATACGGCAGAGTCTGCAGGTGGTGAGTAGCAAGATACGACTGATTATGGACGGGTTAACACTGGAATTTCGCCCTACGTAGGTAACTGGCCCAGCGTGTGTGTGTGTGTGTGTGTGTGTGTGTGTGTACTCAGCATGGATATTCACATAGCGCCTCACGACGCTATGCTTGCTATATATATATATATATATATATATATATATATATATATATATATATATATATATATATATATATATATATATATATATATATATATATATATATATATATATATATATATATATATATATATATATATATATATACGTTTCACTAATACCACTATTTAAATCTATCATTTTTACTTCCTTCTCCTGCCCTGTATGTTGATTTTTGGTTAACTTAAACCCGGTGTGTGTGTCCAAGATGGAATGCCTCCTGTGTATGCGAAGGAATTATGGTTTACAACTTTTTCGATAATGGTCCACGACGGTCCGAAACGTCGTCGGCTCCTCACCTTCCTGTGTGTGGTTTGGTCATCAATAACACTTGCCTATACTTTTACCATTACTGCCCGTTGTCTTTACTCCATCTCCTTTTAAGCTAATTTATCTTTGTCTCTGACAGCTCTCTGTTTGGGGGCCATACATGGCTCAACTTCTCTTCTTATATATTAAATGCAGTATTTATCAACTGCTTTTTCTCCTTCGCTTACTCCCTTTTTTCATTAATCATTAATATTATTGACATTAATGTCATCCATCACTCTGTTAATGTCTCCGCTGAACACTTCAGTTAAGGTCATTTTACTTATTGACGTTCTTTCTTTTCACTTGTTCTTTGCATTCAACTTCTCTTGTTCTTTGCATTCCACTTTTTTTATTCTTTGTATTCCACTTCTTTTATCTTCTTTGCCAATTATATCTGTTTGCAATTGAATATCATTCTAAAGTTAGAGTAATTTAAGTCTCAGCATCCTAGGCATTACGATAACTTATAATTCTACCGGATGTCCCACGGCTTTGTGAGCCACGTGAATATCGACAAAAAGTCGAGTCTTCTCTCCAAAATCAAAAGAGATTTGATTTCTAATCTACATCAGCTCTTCAACCGCTTCATTCACCATTATATTGAATACAGTTCGAGTTTTTGGCCAAGTCAGCTGGTAATAAAGTTCTTGGCGTGATTTAGAGTAAAGATGTACATCTTTTGAGGTCACTCGACGCGTTGAAATGTTGAATCTTCAACAGTTTGTTGTTGTTTTAGATTTTGCTACTCAGGACTATAGTCCATGTAGCATGGGCTATAGTGAGCCCGTAACCCTTCAGCCCATTGCTTCAGCTTCTCTCTTTCATAAGTACTTCCATAACTCTGTCTTTCAGCAACTTGCAAGTTGTATGTCCCATTTTCCATTATGTTTATGGAGAACTCGAAACGGAGTTTCTATTCACAGCTGGTGTTTACCTGTTGCTTATAGCAACATGCAACCAATGTTACATTTTTTAATCCGTTTTTGGGTCGAACCTTCATCATATATTTTCCCAGAAATTTCTGAAACAAAAATGGTTGTGTATCAAATCTGTTGAACAATAGCTGATACCCTGATTCCATTTCAGTATTGGTCAAGTGTGTCTGGATGGGCAGTTTTCCGGTTGCACTGGTAAAATCTTCTTTAAAGATTATGTTTCAGCCGAAGCAGGAGGGAATGCCGTACGACTTCCAGTGGGACGTCCAGGACCCGGACAGTGGCAACGCATTTAGTCATGTGGAGAACAGCGACGGTCGTACTACCCAGGGGGAGTACCGCGTCCTCATGCCCGACGGTCGCACTCAGGTGAGTACCTGCGTCCTCATGCCCGACGGTCGCACTCAGGTGAGTACCTGCGTCCTCATGCCCGACGGTTGTACTCAGGTGAGTACCTGCGTCCTCATGCCCGACGGTCGCACTCAGGTGAGTACCTGCGTCCTCATGCCCGATGGTCGCACTCAGGTGAGTACCTGCGTCCTCATGCCCGACGGTCGTACTCAGGTGAGTACCTGCGTCCTCATGCCCGACGGTCGCATTCAGGTGAGTACCTGCGTCCTCATGCCAGACGGTCGCACTCAGGTGAGTACCTGCGTCCTCATGCCCGACGGTCGCACTCAGGTGAGTACCTGCATCCTAATGCCCGTCCGCCTTATTCAAGTATGTACACTGTAATATAATTCTTTCAGCAATTTATTAAATGTAAAAGAGGTATGAATGAAGTTGAAATATCAAACAGAAGCAAGTGATTGATGAAAAATATATATAATTAGACAGACACCAATAAACAGTCAGACAGATAACCGGTTAAACAGGTGGAGGCCGCAAGATGACGGGTATGAATGAAAGTAATTTTCCATTGGAAATGTTCGAATGTTCGTCTTATTTTCAGGTGGTAAAGTTCTTTGACAATGGCGACGGCTTCAACGCCGAGGTCACCTACGAGAAGAAGTAGGCGCAAAGGTGACGAGGCGATCAGGTGAAGAGAGGTGACAGTGGCGAGGTGACCAATGCCTGAGCGACACAAGGTGACAGCGATAATACAGCGGCAGGAGATACAAGAATGATGAAACTCTGTCTCTCTCCTAGTTTGAAGCAGCGTTTTTTGACTTGACGCAGCATCTTCGGACTTGATGCAGCATCTTCGTGTTTGTCTCAACATCTTCGGACTTGATCTGCATCTTCGGACTTGACGCCGCATTTCTCAACCTCTTGCCTCCTACCTTAAGTCATTATGCATTACATCTCACAATCTCAAGCTTTCCCACTCCGCCTGTGCTTACAGAATTGTATGGAACACTGAACACTGAACGTCTCGTTAAGTGGAACCTATGTATGAATGTATGTATATTGGTTGAATATAATTTGCTAGTTTCGTAATAAAATGAGCGCATATAATATGTATTTTTCATTGACATGTACCGGCTTAGTGTCTTCTTTTAATTATTACTTACTTACTTTATCTACAAGTAGAGTCTATGTTGTTCTTTCTAAAAACAACATTATTACTCATCTTGGGTTACGGTTAACCAACTCGTACTCCAGAAAGGATAGTACTAGTAATAATTATTTGGTCGAGAGTACCAATATGGAACGATAGACCACCAAAAAAGGGGACTTTTGTACTTTTAATTTGATAGAGTTCGGAAAATAATTAGGTTGAAAACTAAATTTTAATATTCCTGGGTCACTTATAGAACATATATGTACCATGATAGGCCTAAGATGGCGTTTGTTAGGTGCAATATTGTTAGGTTAGGTTAGGTTAGGTTAGGTTAGGTTAGGTTAGGTTAGGTTAGGTTAGGTTAGGTTAGGTTAGGTTAGGTTAGGTTAGGTTAGGTTAGGTTAGGTTAGGTTAGGTTAGGTTCTAGAATTATGTTGGTTCTACAATTATGTTGCGGTTAAAAAAAATTTCCAATGAGACCAAATTCAATAATACAAAACCAAGATCTTCTCACCGCCACCATACATCCACCATTATCTCAACACAATAGCCTCAGCATCACCTTCTCCTCACCAAGACTGCTTCACCATCACCATCCTCTCACAACCACCGTCCACTCAGGACTTATTCGTCACGACCTAATCATCATCTCATCACGATACCCTCATCATTGTACAGTACTTAATCACCATCTGTAATCTCTTACCAACTACTACGATTTATGGTTATTGCGCTCTCTCTGTGTCTCTCTGTTTCTCTCTCTCTCTGTGTCTCTCTGTTTCTCTCTCTCTCTCTCTGTGTCTCTCTGTTTCTCTGTCTCTCTCTGTCTCGTCTCTCTCTCTCTCTCTGTCTGTCTCTCTGTCTGTCTCTCTGTCTCTCTGTCTGTCTCTCTGTCTCTCTGTCTCTCTCTCTCTCTCTCTCTCTCTCTCTCTCTCTCTCTCTCTCTCTCTCTCTCTCTCTCTCTCTCTCTCTCTCTCTCTCTCTCTCTCTCTCTCTCTCTCTCTCTCTCTCTCTCTGTTCTCTCTGTTTCTCTCTGTTTCTTTCTCTGTTTCTCTCTCTCTCTGTCTCTCTGCCTCTGTCTCTCTCTGTCTCTCTCTCTCTCTCTCTCTCTCTCTCTCTCTCTCTCTCTCTCTCTCTCTCTCTCTCTCTCTCTCTCTCTCTCTCTCTCTCTCTCTCTCTCTCTCTCTCTCTCTCTCTCTCTCTCTCTCTATTTTATTATTCTGTCTTTTATTTTTGTTGAAGTCAATTAAGTGTTTGGTTTTTGTAATATACTATTTATGGCTTGCCATAAATTATCTAACTTACTTTCTAGCAGTTTAGCGCCTGCTACCTGGACGGTCCGCAAGCAAGAAGTATTATTTGAAATTGCTATTCTCTTTTGTAAATGAATTAAGGAGCTTCTCAAATGATAGTTTATTTTCACATACATTAAATAAATTCAATGCTTTTAAACGTAGATTTTTTGGTCTGTCTTTGTCAAAATCTCTCTCTCTCTCTCTCTCTCTCTCTCTCTCTCTCTCTCTCTCTCTCTCTCTCTCTCTCTCTCTCTCTCTCTCTCTCTCTCTCTCTCTCTCTCTCTCTCTCTCTCTCTCTCTCTCTCTCTCTCTCCTCTCT